AAACTGTCACACGTCGGCTAAATATATCGGGAAGTGAGCAAACACATACTGTTGCTCGCTCACTTCTCAATCATGTCCCTGAAGAGAGCTGTGACTGTCACTCACGGCTCCCTGTAGGGATTCCCCCCCTCCCCGCTCCTCCAGTGCTGACTGGCGGAAGGGACAGGGAGGGAGCGGGTGCAGCTGGCTCTGCCTCTAGATAGGCAGAGCCCGCTGTCACTCACGCAGCTGGGTCGATCTCGACAGTAATGTTGGGATCCATCCCAGCTGCGGTGGTCTCAGTATACCGCGAGCTGTAGCTCGCGGTATACTGAGCTTTAGATCACGGGAAGACGCTAGTTTATGTGCTCCCATGACCCTTAGGAGAACAATGGGGAAACACACTTACCCCATAGTTCTCTTTAAGTAAAGAGTGTTTTTATATGTACCTTTAGTTCTGTTTTTCACCTGGATTGGTGGCAGGTGTCTATTGAAGGAAACCCGTACTGAGAAAAACAGTGTCATTGTTGACCTCTCCTAGATGCTTTGCAGCTATGACAGTCTAATAACTTCAATACTCTGAGTCACTGATCTGGATTGGATATACAGATTAGAGGTACTGTACATAGAGATCCCAGAAAGATTAACATTTTTAGATGGTTGTCAAATATGGCAACCTCCGTAAATTTATTTCAGTACAGGTTTCCTGTATAAATGACTTGTCTCCTACAAAGTCATTTTAAAAATGGTATTCACATTTAGGATGCCATTTTATTTATAAAGATAGAAGTTCTATTCTTAGTCTATAGCTAAGATGGCCTAATTTCTGAGTCACTTTAATACAAGTCCTAGTTTCATTAGCACATCCTGAATATTGAAGGACTGGTGCAGGAAATTATTCATGAATAGAAGAATCAGACAAATTACTTTACTTTGAGGTTGGGGGACTGAAGAACAAAAGATATGTGCATTTGGTGGAAGGGGTACCGATGTCTGAAGCTTCAAACAGGCACATTATTATTTTTACTTTTATAAATGCCTTGAATCCATATTGTACTGACTACAATGAGCTTCTTAGGCCATTTCTTATTGTTCACCTACACTTCATTTTAAGAGTGGTAACAAAAGAAGGGGGGTAGCTAAGTGTCCTATACTTTGTTCCTAGGGAGGGGGGATCCAGCTCTGACCTTGTTTCCAGAATGCATTTTCTTTCTTAGAATTATATAAGTGAAAGCATAATTGACATAATGCATTTTCACAATCAAAGGTTATTACAAGAAAGGGAATTATAATTAGGAGTGGAAACTTGAATCACATTTTGTAGCAGAATTGCAATTATTTTACCTCAAAGATATCCACACTTGTTGTGGTTTTGATGGTCAGTTAGAACTGTTCAAATATGTCTCATATCATCTGAAAAATTGTATTATTTACAGCAGAGCAAGGGATAGTTCTGTTGTAAGCCATGCCCATGTGACATCAGTTTTAACTTAAATGTGGCTGTAGTTGCAGTTTATCTAAATGGCACTTAAGGTGCCCTGGTAATTACAACTCATACTCCGAGCCTCAAGCATTTTGTGATTTCTGAACCATTTCTAAATTCCTTGCAAGAAATAATAAGAGCCTCTAGTAGTCATGGGTGCTCATTATTGCACAGGGATTTTACCCAACATGTTGGAAAATCGATCTGTCAGTGGACATGATCATTTTCTGTGCAATGGAGCAAAAGAAAGGACTGCCAATATATCAGTGTTTCTAGTCAGCATGATTAGAATTCAGTCTTGGAGTGCATGTGACATATTTTAGGATAGAAAAATATGTTCCCACCTATCTATCTTAGTGAGACGTCTATTCATCTGAGGGTACCTTTAGGCTTTGGTTAGTTAAAGCGCAAATAGAAATCGTATGTGGTAAATGTATGACAAGCAATCACAGATCAGTCTACATTAGTTTGCTTTTCCACAACTGCTAAGGATGTATTTCTGTTTATTAGTAAAAAATATATAGAAAAATATAGAATGTGGATATGCTGCCCATAACAATCGATTACATTTTAGTCCACATGTATTGTATTAGAGAAGAGATAGACAGGCAGACTGTGGTTGCTGTGGTCAACACAGATATTTTGGCTTCCACCATTACACATGAAGCCCTCTGTTAGACACTATACAGTATATATCTAATGTGAAATGAAATTACATGGTTGTCATGTGGGAGTCTTCATCTGTCACAGCCCCTTTTAAACAACAGTATATTGCAAGAGTTATATTACTTGGTGGACTAAGATCCAACCATTGAAATACAACAGATGCTATAGAACCACTATGTTCAATTGCAGCTGCAGGAAGATGGACACCAACCATGCAAGAGATCCTAGTTTTCTATATCATTTGAGGCATTTTTTAATTGAAAAAAAGTGCAGTGTGTAATGCAGCACTCTAATGTGCCTTCAGCAAGATTTTGTTAAAATTACCTGCTTTAAGGACAGGGAAGGCCTAAAGGAAACAGAACATATGACTGTCAATTACTCCCCAATTTAGGTGCCCATAAAAATGTAATTTGCAATCACTTTCTATTTCAGAATGGTTACAGCACATTAGTTTGATATATAATTAGATTAAATTGCCAAACTGTTTACAGTCATTTGCCTGTTGATAGCACCTTTATGGTGCAAGTAGACTGTAATTGAAGTATGTTACAGAGAAGAAAAAGGCAGACCAGGCAGAAGTACATTGTACCTTTCTTTGTTTTAATTAGACAGGACATCTATCATATGTGCCCTCTCCCTTTGTGGCCTTGCGTTCTAATGAACTGCAGTAATGAACTATAAAAGTAGTTGGTCTGTAAAAGCAGATATTGCCCTGCATGGCATTAGAACATAATGATTATCAGTTGCAGCATACAAACACAGTTCAGATAAACACCTCTACATTTTTACCTTACTGTGTTTGTTTTCAAATACACCAGCTGCTTATTTCTTTGCGAGCTACATAACAGCTGGCTTACATTTCAGTCCAGTTTGCCTCCTCCCTGTTTTATGTAAGTCTAGCCAACCCTTCATGTATTTAATAAGCCACAACTATGTTGCTTTGGAGAATAAGTGTTCTTTCCTCCCATTCTAATGTCTTTTTTGGGGGGGTTAGGTCTAAATGATTATTTACTCTTGTCAAATGTGCTATGCACCCATCATCACTTCTAGGGAAATACATACTCCCACATTTGTCCATTTAACTCCCCCCTCTATAGATTCAGAAAGTGGGTGTGGTTTACACTGTTGAATGGGGGTGGATCACCTAGACGTTTTTGCAGACATTCCATGCATGACCTACAGGTATGAAATGGGAAAGGGGTAGCTTTTTTTTTTAAACATCTGAACAGTGCTTTGCAATATACTGGGGATGATGGAAAGCATGAGGGATTTTTGGAAAATGTACAGAAAGGTGACCTAATCCTTTAATGTATTTGCCCAAATTGTCTAGCTTTTACCAAGATATGTAATATAAGAATAGAATATTCATCAGTGCATGGCCACATAGCACTCAGATCACCTTTAGTTGAAATACACTCCTGAGCAAAATGAGGAGCACACAGCCTCACTCTAAAAGCAATGTACATCCAATTGCATGAACGGTTGACTTTTTTTTGGTCTATGTCAATATGACAGCACCTGTATGTCAAATGGTTCTTGGTATGGAGAAACCTATTTGTTCTCATATTCACAAACAATTCTCAATATTCATGTGTAGCATAATCAGTCCTCTGTTACAGAGTGGATATCTATAAACCAGGGAGCTTACCAGAACAAAGTGCAAGGGATTAATACTGTTGGTATTTTTCAGAGTGGGCAGCTAATTATCAATGGTCAAGCAAAAGTCCAACAATGTGAAAAGCCCTACTTCCATAGTAAGCATACATGGGTTGATTTAGGCAAATAGGCTGTTCACTTTGCAAGGAAATTTTCCCTTAGTTTAGTGAATGAGGCGAAGCTCTGCTGACTTCAATCATCCAATAATGTACAAGCAAATATGCTGATTTTTTCCCCCTTGTATTGGGTATTCTTTGCAAAGTATCACTATGCTAAGGGAAAGTTTCCTAGCAAAGTGAAAATTCCTTAAAAGAGATCTATGGGGTAAGTGTGTTTCCCCATAGTTCTCTTAAGGGTCACGGGAGGAAATATACTAGCCTCTTCCCGTGACCCAAAGCTCAGTATATCGAGAGCTACATCTTGCGGTATACTAAGACTGCCGCAGCCGGGATGGATCCCGACATTACTGTCGAGATCGACCCAGCTGCGTGAGTGACAGCGGGCTCTGCCTATCTAGAGGCAGAGCCAGCTGCACCCGCTCCCTCCCAGTCCGTTCCTCCACTCAGCGCTGGAGGATGGGAGTGGGGAGGGGGGAATCCCTGCAGGGAGATTATCGAGAAGTGAGCGGGTGACGGTATGTGTTTGCCCACTTCCCAATCTATTGAGCCGCTGTCTGACAGTTTCATTGTCACACATCGGCTCGAACTATGAGGATCAGTTATTTTCACTCACTTCATAGTTCTCCTTTAAGTGAACAGCCTTTTTGCCTTTAGCAAATCAAATCCATAGTTTCAGTTTCCATAGGTGAACTGCCCGTTTTCGAAAATGGCTTTCTTTGTTCCAAAGTCTAAATGCGGCAAAAAGAGCAACCCACAAAAGAAAGGCTATACATCAGTTGTTTAAAAATATTGATTATTTCTAGGTAATTGTTTAGGCTGAAAAAGTCCACATGCTCTTCATTCACATAATGACAATTCCCATGTGTCAGCATGCATTAAAATGATAGCATGTTGGGTTGTCAGCAGAACATTTCCACAATGTGTATTGACAAGTCCACCTCTGAAAATGCAGAGACTGACTGTAGTTCTTGCATACATCAACTTTTGGTTTCTCGCATACATTATATTATTTTGTAGCAGTTTTAACTCTAGCATATTGTGCCGATTCCTGATGTTTTTATAGCATAGCTGTGCTAACAGATTTCTTCTCCTTGCAGACTTTGGATGGACGAATAGTGGTACAAGGACATATCAGGATGTCCTCGCTCACTCTTAAGGACATCCAGTATACTGATGCCGGCGAGTATTTCTGCATTGCTAGTAACACCATTGGACAAGATACACAAGCCATGTACTTCGAAGTCCAGTGTAAGATTTTATTTTCATTCATGTTTATTAATAAGATTTGCTATTTATATTGTCACAGTTTTCTCCTAAATTATATTCATACTAAAAATGTAAAATGATTCATCTGCCTAGCCAGGAAATAACTTAATATCTCTTCTTGATCATTCTTTATTGAAAGGAAATGGGCATGCCCTTGAAAAAACGGTAGCATGAATTTAGAGGTGTGCAAGTGAACTTTGGCTTCAAAGCATAACAGGACTTAAAGAAGAACTCTGGGAAAACTAAAAAAGTACTCTTGCAGTGGGGCCACCCCTGCACTGCAAGGGTTAAGTGCTCGTTGTGACTAGGGGGCTCAGTAATAGCTGTCTTACTCAGCACCATTATTGTTTATCCCTCATCTGCTGGAGGTTTCCAGTACTCTGGTACTCTCCAGTCTACAATTGTCTCTTGAAACCCAGTGTCCAACAACTCCTGTAGCATGTTAGCAGTCTCTAAACATCTCCTGTAGCATGCCGTAGTCTTTTGAGGGTTGAGGAGGGTGTAGAGATTCTTGGGTGATCGTGTTGGTGTTTATTTTTTTCTGCTACATTTTCATTCAAAGATCGTGTTTATTTAGTGTAGTATAGTTATTTAGACTTTATTTAGTGTATTCGGTAGCATTCATTCATAATTTGTAGTATATAATTTTAATGGGGACATTCAGCATGGAGCAAATAGACAGTAATTACTATGCTATCAAAATATTGCCCATAGCCACATGAAAAACGAGTAATGTATTTCCTATGGGCTGTTGACAGAAAACTTGCGCAGGTTTTGGCATAAAGCCCCTTGTTAGTCAGAAGCTTAAAAAAAAAAAAGACTATTTCTTACAGAATGCATTGTCATTTTTAATTGGGTGATTATACAGCTGGTAAAGTCTAAACCTAATAGCAAACAGTCTATATTTCCAGACTGTCCCCATTAGGAAAATGATGGTAACATCTGTTTGAAATTAGACCTGACTTCACAAGCTCAGCTTTTCATTGTCTAATTTCCTTTTCTGGACTTTGATGATATATTTCATCAGCACCAACTTCCCGAAACACCACTGCAATTGGTAGGGTACTTTCCCTTCTTACTGCTTCATGGGTGTACAGGTGAAACTCGAATAATTAGAATATCGTGCAAAAGTTCATTTATTTCACTAATGCAACTTAAAAGGTGAAACTAATATATGAGATAGACTCATTACATGCAAAGCAAGATAGTTCAAGCCGTGATGTGTCATAATTGTGATGATTATGGCTTACAGCTCATGAACTGCACTCACCTCATAGTTCTCCTTTAACCATGTAATTTGTACATTAACCTTTATTGTGCAGTCCCCAGTGACTGAAAGTTAACCCTTTACATTGTCCCTCCAATTCAGTATAGAATAACCCTTCTATACTTAACTTCCAATCCATGTCTATCAAGCTTTTAATTTTCGTGCATTGAATATTACCCTGTCCTTGTCACAGTTCCATGATGTAAAACTTTTTTTAGCCACTTTTTATAAACTGCATTAAACCTTTCCTGTTTAATTCACCTTCACTATACATTATTTTAAAATGCACTTTACATTAATTATACATGAAATACACCTAGATGATCCACTTTATACTCTGTGCTGTAAATTATATATTCCACACTGCTTCACTATGCTGTATATATTGAGTTGAAAGGTTTACTATACACTGCTCAGATGTACAGGTGAAACTCGAAAAATTAGAATATCGTGCAAAAGTTCATTTATTTCACTAATGCAACTTAAAAGGTGAAACTAATATATGAGATAGACTCATTACATGCATAGCAAGATAGTTCAAGCCGTGATTTGTCATAATTGTGATGATTATGGCTTACAGCTCATGAAAACCCAGATCCACAATCTCAGAAAATCTTTGGCAGTGTGGGCAAGTGCCAAGTCCTGCTGGAAAATGAAGTCAGCATCCCCATAGAGCTCGTCTGCGGAAGAAAGCATGAAGTGCTCTAAAATCTCCTGGTAGACGGCTAAGTTGCATTAGTGAAATAAATGAACTTTTGCACGATATTCTAATTTTTCGAGTTTCACCTGTATGTGTATTCTGTATGTGTGTGTGTATTCTGGGTATAACGTTTGCCCTGTGTGGTGTATGTTCTGGGTATGATGTGTGTCCTGTGTGGTGTATGCTCTGAGTATAATGTTTGCCCTGTGTGGTGTGTGTTCTGGGTATGATTTTCGCCCTGTGTGGTGTATGATCTGGGTATGATGTTTGTCCTCTGTGGGGTGTGTTCTGGGTATGATGTTTGTCCTCTGTGGTGTGTGTTCTGGGTATGATGTTTGCTCTGTGTGGTGTATGTTCTGGGTCAGATGTTTGCCCTGTGTGGTGTATGTTCTGGGTCAGATGTTTGCCCTGTGTGGTGTATGTTCTGGGTATGATGTTTGCCCTGTGTGGTATGTGTTCTGGGTATGATATTTGCCCTGTGTGTTCTGGTTTGGGCTCTGGGTATGATGCCTTCCCTGTGTGGTGTGTGTTCTGAGTATGATGTTTGCCCTATGTGGTGTGTGTTCTGGATATTGTATGTTCTGTGTGGTGTGTGTTCTGGGTATGATGTTTGCCCTATGTGGTGTGTGTTCTTGATATTGTATGTTCTGTGTGGTGTGTGTTCTGGGTATGATGTTTGCCCTGTGTGGTTTGGGCTTTGAGTATGATATTTGCCCTCTGTGATGTGTGTTTTGGTTCGGACTCTGGGTATTGTATGTGCTGTGTGGTGTGTGAGTTTTGGATAGGATGTATGCTGCTATTTGTGTTACTCTGCCCTTACTCACATGACTTCCCGTGCTGTGTTTGCTCTGCAATCAATAAATTTCAGTAGGGGCACAAGAAATTATCTTAGCAGCTACTTACGATATTGAAACAATTAAAAGAAATGTACTGTTCTTACATAAAAAATCTATATGTGGGATAATACATAAAAATGTACTTACTGTAGACTGTCTTACATTCTAATACATCCAGCCCCCTCCCCATTCACACTCTTCAGAGAGGTATAGAAATATGGTGCCATTTTTGTTCTTTCTAATATGCGCCTGGTTAAACAGAATGAATCAACAGAGCTCTGCAGTTATTTTACTGACATCAATCAGCCTCTTAACCTTATCTAGTCTTGTAGTAGAAAGAAAATTAGTTAATCTGTCTGCAGTCCCTAATTTATCATTTATCTTTTAGATTGTAAGCCCTCAGAGGGCAGGGCCCTCCTTACCATCTTGTCTTGAATTGTATTGTAACTGTAATGTCTTCCTTATATTGTAAAGCGCTGCGCAAACTGTTGGCGCTATATAAATACTATGTAATAATAATAATAATAATAATTTATACTGTTGACAGGACCCTGCATCTGGACATACTCATTGGGTATATATTATTGCAAAATGAATCTATTTCTCTTTATCTGAGCAAATCAGAATGATATTCCTTTTAGCACTGAGGATATAAAAGTAATGAACCTCTATGTAAAATAATTTGTCTGATTTTGTGAAAATAAAGTCTTGGTTCCAATATCTGCCAATGGAGCTAGCTGAAGTTATACCTGATTTCTATAAGTTGCCTGACCTTCATAAAAGAAAGACTTTAATTTTTTACAGACTTTAAAGGTGCCCAAAAGTGTGAACGAAGACGTGCGACCGTTTTTACTGTACGGTCGCACGTCTTTTGTCGAACTAGCATGCTCGAAAACCCGGCGAGAATCGTACAATTGTCGGCGGGTTTCTAGCCTGCTTGTTCGACTGCTGCGGAACGGGCCGGTGTGCGCACGCACACACTGCCCGTTCTGCATTGCGGTCATCGGAAGCCCGCCCCTCAGCGGGGCGGGCTTTCGATGATCGCAAGTACGATCTGCCTGTCCAAGATGGGCAGATCGTACGAGCTTTTAATCGTAAGGTGTATGGGCACCTTTAATCTGGACATTTGGCCAGCTTTCCAGACCCATAGCGTCTTCCTACTTGAGTTACTTTTACCCCCTGTTTATTTTTAACCCCTACATCCCAAACTAGTATATTGAACACTGAGCATTAAAACCCCAGGTCCAGCCAAATGCTACAATGCACATTTTGACACATAAAGTAAACCTTTCATGGCCACCAAAGTTTATAATTTAGAAGTATTGGCACCTGAACTGGCTTCTCTACACTTCAGTTCCCTGGTGCCTTGGAAGGAACCTGGATCCGAGGCACAGGCTGCATACAGATGCTCAGCTTCTTTCCAAGTTCAGGTTAAGTCTCACTCCCTCTTCATGTTAATCCTGACCCTTTCTACTGAACTGTGAAATGCCAGAGCCTCTGTGGCCAGCAGAGGTTTTGGCATTTGATAGTTACATGTCAATATTAAATGTCAGGCAGCAATAAAACGTCAGTTTAATCCACTAATGCCGCCACAAATAAATGGACTACTCCTGTTATTATCAGTCACCTTTGCCTTATCGTAATTATTAGCAACAACCAAAAAAAAAACCAAGGTTGTCTGTATGCTGGCCTTTAAAATATGTTCTTTTTCCTTGTTACACTTTATCAAACAATGCCTAACTTCAGTTGTTTATTGTAATGTGGTCTACCACTTTGCCCTGTCTTCCATTTCTTCCAAATCTAATTATATATATTTATACCCATTTACATTGCACTATATATATATATATATATATTTATACATTCTAGCTGTGCCTTTTTTTTTCGCAGGGGACTTTTTGTGTGATCTAAGACTAGCTGTTAGTGTATAGGGATAGTTTGGACACATAAAAGAAATTGAACCTCATGCCTTGTTCGCTATTCATCAGATTTAAAGTATAACTGTTAGTAGGTAAAACTGGAGGTATACTTTAGTAGTTCATAGGTATTTAAGTATCTGTCATCCACGTCCTAAAATAAAAGTCCTTTATAGAAAATATAGGAATTAAAAGCCATTCCCTGTTAGGATCCACAGCGCCTCTAGGTGGCGCTGGAGCTAAGCCCTGCAGTTCCTGTACTCACCTGCAGGTGTCTCCAGGCAGCCGGGAACTGTTAGGTACCAGACTACCATTGGGTGGTGCTGGAACCTGCAGCTCCAGTGCTCCCCTGCCGGTGTCTCCCAGCTGCCAGCACTTAGCCATCACCTGGTGCTTCCTGTGAGGGTATTTAAACCCTCCCTGCAGTCAGGACGATGGCTCAGTATACTGTTATTGTTTCCTGTGAATCCTGAGTCCTCATTCTTGAGTCCTGTAACCTGCTTATGTTCCCGAGTCCTGTTACCTGCTTATGTTCCCGAGTCCTGTTACCTGCTTATGTTCCTGAGTCCTGTTACCTGCTTATGTTCCCGAGTCTTGTTACCTGCTTATATTCCCGAGTCATGTTACCTGCTTATGTCCCTGAGTCCTGTTACCTGCTTATGTTCCTGAGTCCTGTTACCTGCTTATGTTCCCGAGTCCTGTTACCTGCTTATATTCCCGAGTCCTGTTACCTGCTTATGTTCCTGAGTCCTGTTACCTGCTTATGTTCCCGAGTCCTGTTACCTGCTTATGTTCCCGAGTCCTGTTACCTGCTTATGTTCCCGAGTCCTGTTACCTGCTTATGTTCCCGAGTCCTGTTACCTGCTTATGTTCCCGAGTCCTGTTACCTGCTTATATTCCCGAGTCCTGTTACCTGCTTATGTTCCTGAGTCCTGTTACCTGCTTATGTTCCCGAGTCTTGTTACCTGCTTATATTCCCGAGTCATGTTACCTGCTTATGTCCCTGAGTCCTGTTACCTGCTTATGTTCCTGAGTCCTGTTACCTGCTTATGTTCCCGAGTCCTGTTACCTGCCTCTGTTCCAGAGTCCTGTTGCCTGCTTATGTTCCCGAGTTCTGTTGCCTGTTTATGTTTCCGAGTCCTGTTACCTGTTTATGTTCCCGAGTCCTGTTACATGCTTATGTTCCAGAGTCCTGTTACATACTTATGTTCCAGAGTCCTGTTACCTGCTTATGTTCCGGAGTCCTGTTGCCTGCTTATGTTCCCGAGTCCTGTTACCTGTTGATGTTCCCGAGTCCTGTTACCTGTTTATGATCCCGAGTCCTGTTACCTGTTTATGTTCCCGAGTCCTGTTACCTGCGTATGTTGATGAGTCCTATTGCCCTGCTCCCAAGGTTTCCATGCCCTGTTATACCCTGTGAGGGTATTCTGTGGTTTGTTCCTAGTTTTCGGTTGCGGTTACTTATTTGTGGGTTATGTTATGTTTTGTTCCT